CATAATCCAACAAATGCGTGACACAATAGACGGCATCAAAACGATGTATGCAAATTGCCGGATTGATAAGAGTCTCCGCCGCGCACGTATGTGCAAAAGGTGATGGAACGAAGAGACGGTGACTCGCAAATCTCGCCGCTGCAGAATGCAAGCGGGGCGAAGCGAACGCAGCCTGGGGCGTGTAAACGTAAGCAGCCGGGGGATGTGGACACGTCGAGTGCCAAACGTCATAATGTAGCCACCATAACGGGGGCTGCCGAACAGTACGCAGCAGAAGTTCCTGACGGCCTTCACATACCGAAGGACTTGAAGTGGGTGAAAGTCGGAGCGAAAACGAAGAGGAAAAAAAAGGCAGACCGGCCCAAAAAAAGACCTCTTAAGGGTAGAACCGATGCTATTGTCATAGCAGCTAAAGGCGCTCTCCTATTCAGATATGCTCCGCAAGGCTAAGGACGAACCGCAATTTGGTGAGGCTGCGCAGAAAATAAGAAGAACGCAAAAAGGCGAGCTTCTACTTCAACTAAACCGGAGCAGAGGGAAGGCAGAACATCTGAGATTGGCAGAGGGCTCCTTTTTAGGAGGGGAGGCAGAAGTCAGCTGCCTGAAGCAACGCAAAATGGTCGAATGCAAAGACATCGACGAAGTCACTACCAGCGAGGACGTAAGCAGCGCACTTAAATCCCAATTCAGGTTGACAACCGCAGAAGTGTTTAACATAAGGAAAGCATATAGCGGAACCCAGACGGCGCTCATTAGCCTGGAGCAAGAAGAAGCCGCTAAACTCTTGGCAGGCAGAAAACTGTGCATAGGCTGGGTGATCTGTAGGATCAGAGAGAGCAAACCATTCTTGAGCTGTCTCCGATGCCTGACCGATGAAAGACTTGTCGAAGGTGTGGAGAGGAAGACCATATTGCGAAAAGTTGCACTAAGGAGTCTTCTTGCATGTTCTGCAGGGCGACGTCGAATTTGGACGCAAAGCACGTGGCGGGAAGCGGCAAATGTGCGCTGCTCAAGCAGGCACTGGTCATTAGAGCGCGAAAATGAGAATAATGCAGATTAATCTCAACCACGCCGAAGCAGCTCATGACCTACTTTGGCAAACGGTCGTTGAGAAAGAGGTGCGAGCCATATCGAAGGGCAGGGGAGGGTACCTGGGTAACCGACGCGTCCCAAAAAGCAGCAATTTGGACGCCCGCTCCTATAGCACTCTTGGATGTGGAATGCCACCACAAGCAATTCGTTAGGGCGAAAGCTAAATATTTATGAAAGTATCTCTTCTAATTGACGGGCGGAGGGATACGTTTCGTAAGGCAGGAAGGAGGTCGAAAGTAAACCTCAGTTTTGTCAGCGCCGGTCTAGTGACAATAAACAAGTTGTCGTTGAGCGAGGAATACACAAACAGTGATCGCCATGCCATCTTCCTCGACATAGAAACCAGAGAGAACAGAGGAACAAAACTACCCGGCCGAGGCGGAGAGATTCACTCTTCGACGAGGACGTCTTTAACATCATTATGGACTCCTAAGAGAGGGGTGACGGTACGGGTGGTGAACCCCAGCAAAACGTAACGAAGTTGCTGGTACCTGCAAGCGACGCCGCTATGTCTCGAAGAAAAATTACAGGGAGAAGCGGATCTCCGTGCTATTGGTGAACCGAAGAAACAGCGTCCTTGAGAGCGAACTGTTTGAAAGCCAGACGAAAAGTGCAGCGCTCGAGGAGAAGGGCAAGCGACTTAAAAAAAGCCATAAGGGCTAGCAAAAGGAGAAGCTTTGACGAAATATGCCAGGGTGCTGATGTCAATCCATAAGGAACAGCATATAAATCTCGTCCTGAAGAAGGTCAAAGGACAGAAAACGCCGCAAATCCGTCCGTTCATGCTGCGACCAACAGTAGCAACACTTTTTCCGCAGAGGCCGCCGAATATGTTGGTAAACCTCCACAGCAGAGAAAATGAAGCAATACCAGCAATTAGTGCCGACGAGCTTTTAAGCGCCTGCAAACGGATTGGGGACAAGCGAACCCCTGGCTCAGACGGAGTCCCAAACAAGGAGGCCAGACGTCTTCATGACGATGGTGCAAAGGTATCTGGAAGAAAGAATATTCCCAGATGAATGGAAGATCGAAAGGTTGGTCAATATTCAGAAGGCCAATAAGCCACTGAACGAGCCATTGTCATACCGACCCGTCTACCTTTTGGACGCAATGGGCAAGGTATTGGAGAGGGTCGTATACAAACGCCTGCTAGTTGTGGTCGAAGAAAGACGGGCTCTCTCGGATAACGAATGGTTAGTTTAAGTATATACTTTATTCAATTTTATTTCCTTTAATCTAAATATATACTTTCTTTCAATTTTGTATCTTTTTATTTGCACATTCATATGCATTCATTGACATAACTATGTTCAATTTGTTCATGCACTTGCATTTGCATAATTGCGTTTCTGTGTTTGTCTGTTTCATATAATTGACCACAGACAATAATATCGTTTGTTACGTAATCCAGACCTTGAGGTGTGTCGTCGATTGTTTACATTAATTTGCTTATATTGCATTTTTATGGTACACTTCAAGCTGTTCACATTGCTGGAAGTAAATGAACACAAAAAATGCAAGTGCATCATTTTCATGATTCCATTTATGGCAAAATAATTTCAAGTTAGTTTATAAGAATTATTATTTATAAGTAACATTTTTTAGTAATAAAATTTGTCTTATATTATCTACATAGTTTCCGGACAGTGTCAGAGAATGCTGTCCTTGTGATTGCTGGTGCCATGCCACTCGACATTCTGGCGGACGAAATGAGGCCCATCCACGAAAGGCGCCGTATCAACGCCCCTTCCCAAAAGGAGCGGCTAGCGTCGATGAGGATTTGAAAATCGCGCTGGGAAAGAGCACCGAAAGGAAAATGGACGTTTGTTCTTATCCCGAATAAAATGCAATGGATCCAATGGCCACACAGTGAGGTAAATTACTACCAACCTTGACAGACGCCAAATAGAGCCAAGTGAAATATTGGGGTGGTTAACTGCCAGCAAAAAGGGCTAGAGCACCGTAGGCGACTTTGTAAGCGGAGTGCTCAAAGAACTATGGCAGCATGAAAGGCAGCGGGAGGAGAGCAGAGGGAGTTGAAGTCAATAGTATATTTCACTGAGACCCCACCATTGGAAGCGTGCTAACGACAACCAGCCTCCGCGAAATATTACCTAACGGTGGTCCCGCGGGGGAGTGTGGTAGACGAAGCTTGTGGGGGGAGTAGTTTTTACTGCGTGAAAATCATGCATACTGCTACTAAGGAACAAGCAGTATCTTTTGAAGATTTTGTACCTCCTGCTCGCAGAGCAAAAAAAAAAAACACCTTGTGTGATGATGATATTAAAAAAAACAAAGAAAAATTGTTACTAATTAACAGCGTTACTACTCTTATTAATAACAGAAACACACAAAGCTTGCATAATCCCCAAATTTGAATTTTAAATTAATGTTGGACCACTTATTTTTCCCACTATTTGTAAGATTTCTGTCTACACACAATTGTCATTTGTTCAAAACGTGAGTGAGTCACTTATTCGGAGATTTAAGGGGAAGAAGGTGAGCGGGCAACTATGGCTTAATAAAATTGATGGCTCATTTAATATTTTTTTGATGCTCACAACTATGCCCTTTCCCTTTATTCAGTTTAGAGGTGTGCTGGCTTTAAAAGCTTATTATTTTGTTCTTATACAATACCTTTAACCTCCCCGGGCATTTTCTATTAAAGGTTTATATTATAGATTGTTACGAAGTTCGATTTTCTCGGGTACGGTTCGTATCGTGGATATTCTTTTTAAGAGAAACATACTTGCTTGTTTTCACTACAATCAATTTGTTTTAGGGTAGGACTATTTCCATTTTACTTTGGCAATATTCTAGGCTTCTCCATTCTAAGATTCTTTTTCGACTCAAATGTCCTTTTTCGACTGACTCTGCCATCCACATATAGTCTATTTATATACATTTTTACAAGCATATTCCGATTACCTAAGTTCGTGGCCTCATTTTTAATCCGTTAAACTGCTTTGTGTACTTGGCCGCGAATGGGTACTTGGATTTTCCCTCTCTATTGAATTTATTATTTGGGAAAATGAATTAGCTGGCATGAACTGGATTTGGGATTTCCTTAATAATATATTGATAAAATTGATATGTTATGTATAGCAATAGTAGTAAAATAATTCTAATCACAGGTTGAGCCTACGCTGCGCCCTTTTATTTTATTTTTAGTTTTGTTTAACAACATGAAATTATTATTTATATCATTTTTGTATTGGAAAGTTATGAGATTGGATATTATACATCAAACATGTGAAAAAAGCGCCCTATTTTTGCAGCAAAAAAGGAGATTCTTTCTACAATAAAAAGGTTATTCTTTCTACAATAAAAAGTACTTTGAAAAAGACAAATAAACATCAACAATATTTTCTTTTAAAGAGAAAAATTGACATTGTGTTCAGCAATATTGAAACCAAAAAGGAAATATTTTCTGTGTTTAAAATAGTTAAAAGCTGCGACTCTGCAAAAAGTTATCCTTTTTTGCGCGTAATTACATAAATTTGGAGAGCAAAATTTCGGTTAATTTATCGAAACATTAAAAAAAAGGTAAACGGGGCTCTGCAGAAAGATCGGATTTCAAAGCATTTTTTCATATCTCTCTCAATAAAAAAATCGTTTGGAATTTGGTTTTATCTCTTATTCGAGATGTGTTATTAATTTTTCCTATTTCTTTTTTTCAATGGGGAATTCTAGAGCACCGAAAGTAAGCGCACAAGGGAAACATCTAGTATTTTGTCTGTCATTTGTTGTTGCATTGTTGGCCAGCAGAATGGCTAATTTTTTTGATGAGTTGAATTTCGGTTGTAGGCTAAATAACAATAATTTTTTAGTCATTCAAATAATGCTAGATTTCTTTCTTTTCAATAACTAATACATATTCGTGTTTTCGCCCTTTAGATTTCTTAAAAATGCAGATCTTCGTGAAGACATTGACTGGCAAAACTATCACTTTAGAGGTTGAGCCGTCTGACACTATTGAGAATGTTAAAGCTAAAATTCAAGATAAGGAAGGAATCCCGCCAGATCAGCAGCGTTTAATTTTTGCTGGAAAGCAATTGGAGGATGGCCGTACTCTTTCGGATTATAACATACAGAAAGAGTCAACTTTGCATTTAGTCCTGCGTTTGCGTGGGGGCATGCAGATCTTTGTAAAAACTTTGACAGGTAAAACCATCACTTTAGAAGTAGAACCCTCGGATACTATTGAGAACGTTAAAGCAAAAATTCAAGACAAAGAAGGCATTCCTCCAGATCACCGCGCGCAAATCTGGCCGATAAACAGCCGGAAGATGGCCGCACCTTGTCAGACTAAAATATCCAAAAGGAATCTACGCTCCATTTGGTGTTACGTCTTCGCGGAGGCAGATTCTAAAATTCATTTCCTATTTAGCACTTAACAAGAATACAAATTCAAAATTTTAATAGTATTCGGTGTATTTCTTTCATTATCTCTATTTTGTAATTATTGCTTATTTTAAAACCAATTTAATTCATTAGTAACAACTTCCCGGTTTTATGTTTTCCAATTAAATAAAACAAGTTTGCAATATATCAGAAAGTCTAGATTTTTTCGATTTACACGAAGATAATATTTGCGGCCTTCGATGCGAGCTACAAAGCCATGCATGTCAGCACGCTATCATTGGTTTGAAACTAACAAACATAAATGTTCAATTTTCAGCTTTGTGCTGTGGACCAAAGTATTGGGCTCGCAAGGGTAAAGGCTAAAAATCAATTAACTAGGGAAAATTTCTTATGGTCCTCGTCGTATTTAAACAGCTTGATTGAAACTTTTGACGCATTCGTATTAAAAGAAGAACTTAGTTTTGCGGCCATCACTGATGGACGATATGTATATTCATTTCGCCAAAGAGATTTCCAAAACCCACATGGAAGCTTCAGAGCCTCCACAAACTATATATATTTCTGATAAGCTCCAAATTCTAAATTGATTTAAGCATGTTCGTCCATCTGTCAGTCCGCGTGTGTTATATCTGTTGTAAACAAACTCCTGCCCGCCAAAATTAAACTAGCGACCTCAAATTGCACGCACACAGTATTGAAAATGGGCCAAATCGGTCGAAGGACACGCCCGCATCGCCCCGTAAACTGAGGACGCTTGTGCCGTGTGTGGCGCCTACAACGACCACCCGTCTATGTAACAAAAATGGAGAACACTTTTGTTTGCTTGTTACTCCTAAAGCACAACACATCCGCCGTATAAATTTCCACTTTTATTCTAAAAATAGAAATAGTGTAAAATAGAATAGTGATCATAAGCGGTTTCGTATTGTGTGCAAAAAAAGGTATGGATTTGTCCCGATTAACATTACTTCTACATGCTAATATAAATTCATATGGCACTCTATATGATAGTAAGGAAGGGAAAGGTTTTGCTTCACATATGGCACTGAAAATTGCATTAGTGGACTATCAATTGATATAGATTGAGTTTAAATTTATTATAATAGTTAGCCATTATTATTTTGTTACAATATATTGAAATTCTTGTTAGATTGTTTTTCTTGTCATTCATTTCATTTCTTTTATAAAACAATATCATCTTTGTTTAGCGTTGCTTTACATATATTTTTTTCCTCTAGATTTGATGTCAGCTTCAACTTAATAGAACCTAGCTTCTGACGACTATCGCCGCACCTTACTAATATATTCTCTTTTTCTATTCTTATATTCAATTTTATTTTTTTCTTTAGGCCTTTGATATTTTTAAAATTAAAAACTTATTTTTCTTGACACCACACAGAGATGTGAAACTCCATCTTTAAAGTTGATCAGACTTCGACTGGAGTAGTATTTATTTGGGGAAACGTCGAATGGAATTTTTTTTGCTCGGCAAAATTCGGATAGAAATATATGTATGGGGGATCATCGGCTACCCACTTTTCCGCTACGACATTAGTCATCACTCAAACATGTATGTATGCATACATACCTTCCCTACCAAAGCACGACACACTCGCCGAACGTTCCCCACTTTTTACAACAAACACTCTATTTATTACATACCACAAACACTACCCAGAAATAACAACGCATGCGTAACGGTCGCTCTTTCCCCATCGTTTAATATAACAATACATATTCTTCCTACCTACAAACAATTAAATTTTACTCAATTTTCTGAGAGACTAAGATTGTTCGTAAGAAAGCACGCACAAGAAAAAACAAAACACTACATGCACGTCTCTGCAATTACACACCCTCAAATTACATTCGCAAAAAAGTCCTTCGACCAATCCTTTCTTTATTATATACATCCTAATAAATAAACGAAAAAAGGGTCCTTTCAAGGACACAACAACAACTAAACAAAACGTGCTTAAACAATTTTCCAGAAAGAAAAAAGATAAAGTGCGCTCTAAGTGGTGCAACAATTACACAATATTGCATTTCAAAAACAGTCAAAGATTTTATAGTTCTTTGTCATTTGCAGCAATGACTACGTTAGAGAGTTACCATTTTCTGTTGACTCAGGCGTCTGGGCCTATTCTTCACCTATCCTGCCTAGTAATCTTTCCTTCGGACCATAGAAAGAATTGTATGGGACCCCGAAGTTTGGCCTGAAGATTCCTATTAGCCTACTTGCCTCTCATTAAATTAAAAAAAAAACTCTTCTCATTTTTCATTTTTCTGGTTTCATTTTTGAACAGCATTTATTATAACAGTAGTTTTAAGAATTACTGGTATCGTTATTCTTTGGTTTACGATGCATATTTATATTAACTTAATGTAAAAATGAAAAAGAGTAGTAAAAATAAATCATTTACAAGAAGAAAATACATACCTTAAGACCATATCGCAAATATAGAAATCAGTGATCTTTCAAATTATTAAGTATACAACAATTTTTTTTATATAGATGTGGACACTACTTATATGTTAATAGTATACTTAATTAACTTATACATTAAAATGACTCAAATCATGCTCGACGCAAAGAAAAGGATGCAAACAAATCAATAGGTAAAAATTGAGCAGCAAAACTCATCAAGCACAAACCGTGTTCGCTAAACTTGGCGTTATCTCCTTATATACTACTAGGGAAAACGTGTTTATTCTACGGGCTGAAATTCCCGTCGACGTTTCCCCATGTCTACTACTGACGGGATATGAAATTTTGACCGGTCCAATTGCAAGCCTGTGTCATTTTTATGGGTATTTTCATTAATTTCTTTTTGCTCTTTTGTAGCCAAATTTACTGCTTATGTTTCATTTTCTCAAGAAGTCAGAATTTATTTTAATATTATTTTGTGGACGTGGCAGTTTGAACTCAAATTTTCATTCCATTGGGTAAGATCTTCAAATATAGTTGGTACCTGGATTAACCCCATTGCCGTCTTCACGTGTCGTGAGCGTTATGTGATTAGTGAAGAAGTTCTTCCTTGCCTTTTTTTTCGGCAGAAGTATTGCAAAATTGATTTAACTTTATAGTTGCCATTAGAACAAGGCAATGTCTTCATAGCCAATAGCCATGAGTGAAAAACATTTTTTTTTTTCTTGTAAACGGAATTAGTTGGCAATTTAAACTAAATGCAAGATGTTTTATATTGCATAAAAAAATGTATGTCCATATTATTACAGTTAATTTAGCCAAAGAAATAAATTCTAAGATTAAAGTCTATACTACAAAAATTTGTATCCTTTATTGCCCTTTTTATTTTAAGTTTTTTCTTAGCATAGTTCTTAAAAGGTTTGTTAAGCTTATATATGATGTATATGGTGTGTTAATTTGAATTTGTGTTTTATGCTTCTATAGTCCTTGATGTTCTAATTTTATCCTTTATATTATTTTTAAGGTGCTTGTTAATTTTGCATATCATGTAAATCAAAATCATGACTAGTACTATTACTGAGTATGATGCTAATATCGGTGCTTCCAAAAACTGCCGATTACAGTATTGTCCTCTTTTGATTGCCATTTTTCTTTGTGGACGTATTATATATATTGTGTGTGCTAAGTTGGTTATTGCGGATGCAGTGCCCTCGATGGGGTGGGATTGTTATATCAACAATAATGTTTTCCTTGACGGGTTGCAGTATTATGTGGTGTGAGTGAAGAAGGTCGGTTAAGAGTCGGTGGAGTGGGTACATCGAAAGATTGGCGGGTTCAGATAATTTGCTGGTTGGCTTTATGAAATTTCTTGTGGAGTGAAAATTCGGTAGTATCAGAAGATTGGCAGATCGCCTTATCATAGGATTACCAAACTATACAAAGAGTAAAAGAAAACATAGAATATCTCCGTTCTTCAGACCATCTAAAACACCATCCGCGGATCGCGTAAACTACGTTTCGTGAAATTCGCGGACTACCTGTTTTTTAGGGTTGACAGAAATTCCGAAGTGAATCAAATGATATGGAATTTTCTTTGGTTGAATCCAATTATTATTTGCTTATAGTACATAAGTATAACTTATGTAAGTTATGTAAGTGTACTAAACTATAACTACAAATAATGCTTATGTTGTTTATAATTAGAATAAGTCAATAAATGTAAATGCTTCTAATAATAAAAATATAAATGCTTACCTTAATATGAATACTTTAAAAGTGAATATATTGACTAAATTTATACTAACATTGAGTTGGCTTGTTAAGCAATATTGAATACATTACAACCCCACGACTCATTCTGCCTCCTTACCTGGGTATTAAAATACGTCAATACTTTCTTGCCAATGTAGTAGTTAAAGGATTTCCTAAAAATTTCGGTCCGAAGGCAAAGTGAAATATTGCGTATTGTTCGTGAAAAATCAAAACTCCGTGGTTTATAAGCTTATAGCGGGTATGCAGGTTATTACGATATTTTTACATTACTTGTGTTATTCGGAAGTAAGCATCATGATGTTCATAAATTTCTTATGGATACAGGATTTCTTCCAAATTCCGTTAAGAAATCAATTATCATTCTTTCGGAGCGCTATTCAGATGTATATATTTAGAAATAAAGCGTTATTTTATTGGCTAATAATTGTTCGTCTTCTTGAAAAACTTAACAAGTGAAGATTTGGGAACGTTCTTGAGATAGGTGGGTTTTTGTTTTTTGAATACGAAAGCATTTTTCTCTTTCATTAGATTTATTGATTTGCTACCACCCCTTTAGTCCTGGCACAAGGATTGAAAAAGCAGTTGCTTGATAAAACTTATTCAAACGAATAATGTGAGTGGACCATTGGGCCCCGTTGATGACATGGCTTTTGTAATTATTGTCAAACCGTAGGATTTGTTAATACGTGAAGTAACCGGGCCTAGAACTCGCGTATCAAAGAATGAAAACTGTTTTCATAAGAAAG